AATTCTCAAATGGAGAGTCAAGAACTGCAGGTGCTTTAAATAAAAAATTGCTGGATAAAGTTCTGATCTGTGGAGAGAAATCAGTTAGTATTTCAGGTCCAGGGACCCTTCCTTAGTGTGGAATTATTCCTTTGCTGTAATTAGCATACAGACTAAAAAGTTACCTTAACCATTCGAAGCAGCAAGGCCAAAAACCAACTTCCAGTTTGAGTGGTTATCCAATGCAGTGTCACTAACTACACAAAAAGCACACACACTTACAGCATGTTTCTGGGATTTCATCAGATCCATCCTCACAGTCAGCATGGCCATCACATTTCAGTTTGAGGGGCAGGCATTGTCCATCAGGACACACAAAGGCTGAAGCTCCACAGATGGTGGTGTTAGCTACCAGAGGAAGTTGTGAGTTAATATTTCAAGTAGGACTTTAAACTGGTGAGAAATCAAGATTTAAGCAGTCAAGAATGTGTACTCAGCTATGCTTTTACCTCCATGTTTCTATTAGCATAGGCATAAAATCACTTGTAGTTACATACTGAATAGCCCATTTAGAGATATTACCTGGAGCAGATGACACTTGGGTCTCCTGGCTCAGAGGTAGGGAGACCCATCAAAACCCTATACATTTTGTGCCTAACACTTGCTGACCAGGCAATCTGAGACATTACATAGTCCTGACCAAATCTAAAGTAAGGCTGAATGGTTGCTTGGCTAGTGTTTACAACATTAAATACTAATTGTTAAAAACAAGATTAAAACATTACTTCACCTTAAACTGTACCCTTTGGTCCAACCAGTCCATGCTGAACACAAATGTTTAAGAGGTTGTATAGGATAAATGCTATTGTGTTTAACATGCAGGTGTTAGACTTTGAACTGAATGTGCATTTTTAAAGCCAGCAGTTGAAAAACTGGAATGAAATTGCAGAATTTACCAATTCAGATACTAATCCATCAAGGTGCTGCAAGTGATCTTTGCCATTTAGTTAAAACCATTTTAGGAACAGCCTAAAATCTTCTGTATTAAAAGATATTTATATTGGTGGATTTTTCATAAAATTGCTTTTCCCCCCACCAGTACACCACTGGTTTTCCATTTTTGGTTTGGTTTATTGTTGTGTTGCTGGCTGGAATTATGCCTGTCCTAATTGCCCTAAAGATATTGAGCCACCATTGTAAATCACCAGAGTTCGGAGTGCAGCCAAAAACAACTGTTAGGAAGGGAATACTGGGATTGTAACCCAGTGAAAGAATTGCAATACATTTCCAAGTCAGGAGGGCATGTGGACTGGAGGAATGTTTAGCTGGTGTTTCTATCATCTACTGCCAGAGAGACTTTCAGGAGGTAAAAGCTACAGCTTTTAGGAAAGTGTTGAAGAAAGGAGTCTGGTCAGTTACTACAATGACTCTTGCAAGTGGTACATTGCTGCCACTGTTAAAAGGAATGAATATTGAACATGGTAGAAGATACAATCTAAGAAAGCATCCATTGAGTGTATCAAGATTAATTTGTCAAAGCTACACCATGTAGAGTGTAGCTACTCCTGACATCTGCCTAATGAATATTGGCCAGGTATTAAAGGGTTGGGAGCCATATTTACTTGCCACACTTCCTATTCTGACCTGCTCTTAGAGAATGTTTGTTATTGTCCAGTTGAGTCAGTCAATGGTAACCCCCAGTATGTCAGGGAGGGATTCATGGAATCCCTACAGTGTGGAAACAGGCCCTTCAGCCCAACAAGTCCACACAGAACCAGTATCCCACCTAGACCCATCCCCCTAATCTACATATCCTTGAACACTACAGGCAATTTAGCATGGCCAATCCCCCTAGCTTGCACATCTTTGGACTGAAAGGAAACTTGATCATCTGGAGGAAACCCATGCAGACACTGGGAGAATGTGTAAACTCCATACAGACAGCCACCCGAGGGCAGAATTGAACCAGAGTCCCTGGCACTGAGGCAGCAGTGCTAACCACTGAGCCGCCCCATTTCAATGGCAGTAAAGTTACAGACTATCAAGGGGTGATGGTTAGATTTACTTTTTCCAAAAAGGAAATCAACACCCAAGTGTCAAATGATATCATTTGCCATTTATCAGTCCAGGCCTGGCTGTTGTTCAGGTCATGCTGCATAATGGACAAGGGTCAGTTTCCAGTATCCAAAGGAGTCTCAAAATGCTTCTGAGAATCTAACTTGTGACATCCTCACATCTAACCTCAAAAAAAAAAGGAGTGAAGGTGATTGATGAAGCAGCTAAAAAAAAAAAGGAGCCTTGGACACTCTAGGAGAGACAGTAATGCCTTAGGGCAGAGATGATTTACCTACATAATGTGCTTGGCCAACTCCAGCCAGGAGAGAGTTCCCCACAACTTCTTAAGTTAGCACTGTTCTAATCAGCTGAAATGGTCACTGACATGGAAAAGAGGTCCTTTACTCAGTATCTACTGTAGTCTTTACATAGTAAGAGTTAATTGATTCAAGTGTCTTACCTATACCTCCAACTGCAATGACATTAAGCACCAGGTCAAGTTTGTAATGGGTGAACAGGAAGGGTCCTCAAACAAATGTTTGAATTGGGAATTAGAATCCCCTCAGGACCTCATTTTTGTCTCATATCAGAAAGAAAACATTTTGTCTCCATATTCAAGTACAGTACATGCAAATACATTTGTGAAGTTTATAACCATCCCTAATGCTCAAAAATGGGACGAGTGGAAAACTAGAATATTTAGCACAAGCTTTGCTTTGATTTTTACCTGGTCTACATGATTTTCCATCTGCATTCAAGTCCATGTCATTTGGACAGACACAAGTGTATGTTGATGAGTGAATACTAATGCGAGGAGCAGGAAGACACATGTATTCACAACCTCCATTCAAACTCCCATTACATCGGTTTTTACCTGTTGAAAAGCACATTAAACCTGAGGAAGCCAGACACTGCTATAGGGGTTTGGATTACTTTCTTAAATTTTGTCCACATTACAAGTTGGTCAATATCCAAGCTAGATTTCAGAAATTCAACATTGTCAAGTGAGCACTGCCTGTTAACTAGTTAACAATTTTCTCCATTTGCCACATTTTAAAAGAGGTACAATTGCAGTTGGAATTTAACATGTCAGTCACCCTTAAAAAGACCACCACAAATGCCAGTCATTAGTTGGAAAGGCAACTAAAAAGACAGTAAGACTATTTTTAAGTCAAAGACAAGCTAAAAAATTTGCTGAAGAACTAATGCAGCCATCAGTTCAACCAGTTAGCATTCTAGACTAGGAAACAAGCTGAACACAGCATGCAAGCTATTCCAGTTAGTGAATAGCTAGGAAACTTCTGTATCTATCCAACTACAGAAACAAAGATAAACCTGCCTTAAAGGCCCTTCACTTAAAATTTGAAGTACTCCAATCCAAAAGGGCTACCATACTGAGACCAGAAAGTCAGTTCTGACAGATTTGAATCTGTAAACACAAGTGTTATCACATGGACATGACATTGCTACTAATTCAGGGCAAGTATGCAAGAACAGCAACTTTTACATTCAGCAGCAAGCTTTTTGTGCTTAATAGCTTCATATGACAAACACAGCAATAAGAGGCACATCTCTTTTCAATAGAGGAGCACAGGTCACAAGCAGGAATGGACATATGGTTTCTTTGGTCATTAACTTTGGTTACAGTGACCAAGTAGATTAAGGTCCAGTTTCAGTATTGCAATCAAGCACACCATTTCACCAGGGTGACAGATGGGCAGCTGCAAAGATTTCAGATAATTTTTGTACTGAAGTACCTCAAGCCACATTTTCAAAAATTGCAAGATACTTGGATTCCCCACATTAAGTTCATTTCAGCTGTGAGGTATCACAAGTTTCTTCTACAGCTTATGAATGCTGCAGGACATGCATTCTAAACGAGAGATTTCATAACTGGCAAGTCTTAATATTTTCTTTAAAATAGCAAAATCAAAAAATTACCTGATGGTTGTTTTAACTTGTGATAAACAATAATATCATGAGGCTCATCAAGGTTGGAGGCTAAAGTTACCACATCAGCGCCTGTGAATTTATTGGCACTATAAATCATTTCATTCTCACCATCAATCCAAAACACACGATCCTATCAAAAAAGTTAATTCAGGAATTCAGTCTTCTACACAAAATTGAACACAATTCAATTACCTTAGTTTTTCAGGTTGTACTTGCAGGCAGAAATACAATTATTCCTGAAGCTACCTTGAAAGGAAGCTTTTAGTACAGATACTTGTCAAATAGCAGTGGTACACTGAAGTTCCCACTAGATAGGTTCTTGATCATCAAGGGTTACAGGGAGAAAGCAACAGAATGGGGTTGAGGAACTTATCAGCCATGATTGAATGGCAGAGCAGACTTGATGGGCCAAATGGCCTAATTTCTCCTATATACATACATTATGCTAAGTACTTTTTGCTCCAATGGCATGTTTTCTTACAGTTGCTGCCTCCATGCTTAAGTGCATTGTACATGGAGTCATACAGCATAGAAAGACCCTTTTGTCTACCTAGTCTATGTAGACTGATATTCCCAAACTAAAAACTTATCCCACACTGCCCATGTTCCTCAACTTTTCTTATTCATGAAAATACCCAAATGTCTTGTAGACAAACTGTACTTGCATCCATCACTTCCTCTGGCAGTTCATTCCACTCAAGCCACCAAGAACAAATTGCCTCACGTCTTTAAAAATCTCTGCTCACCTTGAGAAGGTTTGTTTTGAACACCACCACCAACCACCCCCTTCTCCCCCAACCCTAGATAGGAGACCCCTTCCATTCACCTTATTTATGCCCAGGCTTTTAAAAGCCTGAAAAAAGTCACCTCTCAACCTCCTATGCTCCAGGAGGAAGAGTCCTAGCCTATTTTTATAATCTCAAACCCTGCAACAGAGTAAGTCTTTTAATGAACCCTCTCTGCTTAATGTGCTTTCTATAACAGAGACCTGAACTGCAAAGTGCTCCACAAGAGGCCCCACCAACATCCTATATATGGAAGTGGATGTCCATTGTTTGCATCTAACAGCCATAACTTTGGTAAAGTATGCACACCACCACTGTATTATCTAGCTCTGCACCTTGAAGCGTTTGGCCTTTGTATATTCTGGAGATGGAGGAGTCCATATCTATTCAGGTTAAAAGATAGATGTTATGTTATCCAGCCATTAGCCACTTTTACTTGGAAAATGGTGCAGCATTTCACTTTAGAAGTGAAGCTGTATAGCACTAAATTTGGTTAATCTAACTTGCTCGCATTCAACTTAGTGCAATATTAATGAATTCCTTACCTCAAACATAGCCACACCAAGAGGATGAGCAAGGAATTCTTCAGATCTCAATACAGTTCGCCTATCCTGACCATTTAGATCAATGCTTGACAGCGTGTGCAGCTTTGAATCAACCCAATATAAACGGCTTTTCACAAGATCTGTGGATAAATTTAGAGCACATAAATATGATCTGAATAGATATTGCTGTAGAGCAGTCTTCAGTTGTCCACTTACCAAGTGTAATGCCATTTGGCCAATAAAGGTCACCAGTAACAAACAGCTGGCGATCAGCACCATTCATTCCTGCCTTTTCAATCTTTGCTGGTTCGCCCCAGTCTGACCAGTATATGAACCTTTGGATCCAAAAAAAGTTAGTTAATTGCTTGTAGTTGAAATGGAGATGCTAGATTGCTATTAACTGTTGGTTCCTATAGTTAAGTTGTTACATTAAATGGCAATATATCCTCAGCCTTTAGTCTAGTATGTAGGTTCACTCATCCAAACCCACTGGGTGATCAGTCAATAGTAAATAGAAGGCCAAACATTGGGCTTGGATTTGAAATTGCATAGTTTGTGCCTGGCTATATATTGGAATGAAAATGTTAAAGCCACCCAAATGTTAGCAATGCTAATTAACTGAAACTTTAAATTAGCTAAGTAGCAAAACAAAAAAGCTCAATTGAAGATACTGGCTACAGAAGTTAAAAAATTTCTCAATACCCAGTTAGTGGATCAGCTACTATAGATGCTGGTTCCTTTAGATTGTCCTCAAAGAGGATCTTCCTTTTTGTTCCCTTGAAATTGCCCACTGAAAGTGTTTTAGTCCCCGAATCTGTCCAATAAATGTTGGCATGAATCCAGTCTACAGCAATTCCCACAGGGAGGTATACATCACTGAAGACTCTTGAAATCTCAAGCGTACCATCTTGGTTATCAATTAGTACACTGCAAAAAACAAAAAAAATTAGGCAAACCTGGACAACAACTCAAATTGAAGAGTTAGAAATGTAATAAATTTTAGTGGATTGCTATAAATCTCATTCACAGCCTACAGACACTGCACATTAGAGCTTTTTGCTACCAGGTGCAAAGCAACTTTCATTTCTGCAGTTCATGCAATCTAATGTTACAAACTGGAATAGTGACAACATTAGAGATCAGTGCAATGATCCAGAAGAGTTATTGCAAAAGACTTAAGCAACTCTTTAGCCAGTAAAATATAAACCATTAAAGGCTACAAAAAGTTTCAGATCTGGCAAGAACATCTGGTATTTTAAAAATTTCAGACTATGCTGGCAGTGTCCAAATTAGACATTGCCCTAACTTAATGGGTACAGTATGAGAAGAGTGGCTGGTGAGCCACACAGACAAGTCCCACATATATATGTTTCCAACCCTTCCATTGGAGGCCAGGGAGCAAGTACCCCCAAATTGGCCTGCTCCAATAAATCAGAGACCAAAATAAACTTCCAGCAAATTTTGATTTTAATCAAAAATCAGCCAGAGTTCAGCAACCATCTTGTATCAGATCAAGGAGGCAGAAGAGTCAAAGATATCAGTTTACTGCAAAACAGTAAAAAAATTATCCATTTCCACATCTGGAAGAAAGCAACATTCAAGTGTACAATACAACATTCAATTGTTACACAAGTAACAACAAGCTGGAAGTTTGCTAGAAAGAGCTTTTGATACACAAGTTGCTCGTCACACTGAATTGTACACTTTAAACATCTTACACAGACCAAGATTGACTGCATTTGAGATAATCCTGGCTTGAACAAACATCCCAACAACTGACTAAATTAAAAATTGTACCACTTCAGCAATAGGGCTCTAACCTGATCACTTTAAAGATCCCTCACTCCCACCATACATCATTTGCTTTTTGACATTCCAGAATCTTATTGTATGCAGTTCTAAACACCTGACTAATCCTCAGTTTAAAAAAACCACTAAATTAATCTGATAATCAAGATAATTTAAAACAGAACTAAGCAGTGAGAATTAGAAATTTTGCCAGGCACAGACTCTATCATATTGGATCAAGTGATGGAGATGATAAGAGAATAGTTAGTGACCCTTCTGAGGGAGGGTACACTTGTTCCAAAACATTAACTGATTTTTCTTCAGAGATAGTAGGAACTGCCAATGCTGAGAATCTGAGATAACAGTTTAGAGCTGGAGGAACACAGCAGGCCAAACAGCAGAGGAGCAGGAAAGCTGACATTTTGGGTCTGGACCCTTCTTCAGAAATGGGGGAGGGGAAGGGGATTCTGAAATAATGAGGGGAGGTGGACGGAAGATGGATAAAGGAGCAGATAGGTGGAGGAGAGGGGATGGAATGTAGGTGGGGAGTTATTGGGATAGGTCAGTCCAGGGAGGACAGACAGGTCAAGGAGGCAGGATGAGGTGGAGGTGGGGGTGGAAGGACAGGTTAGGAGGCAAGGATGAGCTGGGCTAGTTTTGGGAGGGGAGATTTTTGAAGCTTGTGAAGTCCACATTGATACCATTGGGCTGCAAGGTTCCCAAGCGAAATGAGGTGCTGTTCCTGCAACCTTTGGGTGGCATTGTTGTGGCACTGGAGGTGGCCCAGGATGGACATAATCATCTAAGGAATGGGTGGGTGGGGGGAGTTGAAATTGTTCATGACTTGGGAGGTGTGGTCATTTCCTACTACCTCAGGTCAAATATAGAGTGTTGGTTCTCTTTCCAAAAGAAGAAGTGTGCAGCATGAACCCTGAAAACAGGACATGCTCACCCTGATGGGGAGGCAGCCTCATGACCCACACAAAGACTTGATAAGCCAGCCAGGAGGATTGGTGAACAGCTCTCCCTGATCAGTTCAGGAATTGGAATAAGTCTTTGAATCAAGGTTTAAATACACAGCCTAGAGGAATCACTTCCTGAAGTGGAGTGGAAGCAGACCAAACTTGGCTCCAAGTAGCCAAAACACTAGATTAAAGTTAGAGAAATCTGTCACTTCAGCTCAACATTTCAGCCACCATTAAGATCCACTTCAGCCATTGTGTAATTTAACTGTTCTCAGAAATTGCTTTGAGGAAGCTTTTGGGCCACATTCTCCAATCCCGAATAAAGGCAGACAACTTTTTAAAGCCAGACTCGGGAGTCAACACACATCCATTGATGCCTTTAGTTGTCATTGGAGACATCCAACTCTAGGTCGGAAGTTTGAAATCTTGATTTGATCCCATCGCTGCAAAAAGGCAAAATCCATACTTCTAGATTTTTCTAGAAGCAATTCATTGAAGACTGAACACATCTTGCACTCAAATTTGGGAAAAAGAAAGTTAAAAAACCAACATCTTAAACCAGATGAGAATGCACACTCTCCCCTCTTGCAGTGCAGGATGTTGGTTTTCTGACAACTTAATCTGATGGGTACAAGGCAAGAAACTTCAACACTAGTCTTCAAATAGTCAAGTTCTCTTGCCAAGCTCAGGTTGGTCAAATGTCATTGTGTATTGCAAACCAGGCACTGATTGGGTTCAGTGGCTGAACCAGCTGATGTTATCATGCAGGTCCCATTTTCTCAACCTCCCCTCTTGCCCAAGGTGAGACCATCCTCAGGTTAAACCACTAGTCATCTAGTGCACCCCTCAGATTGTGAGGATTTCACTTACTCAACATTGTCCATTTCTGGTTTTGGGCATTTTAATGTTAGACTGAAATGAACATTAGATTTTCAGAATTTTTACCTGAAAATTGCATGCTGTACCAAGTCAGCCCAGAAGATTGTCTGTGCTGCAACATCAGCATCAAGTGCAACAGCATTTCTCAGCTGGTCAACTATCTGAGTGTATTCCAAGTGATGTAATCCAATTTTCCTGATGTTGTGACGATTAGTAAAAACCAAAAATGGCTCTTCTCCTGTTTGAAGGCAAGCAACACATTAACAAATGGATCACAAGTCCTCAATTGTATTTTCTGATCAAAGGCCTCTACCATGCCTGCACTATGGAAAACAATAGCAATCCCTTAACTGAACAATCCCTTCCATGTTTGACGGAAGATGGAGGAGGACTGAGGTAGTAGTAGTACTAGTTTAAACAACTGTGTAACAGACCAAGTACTAATAGTGCTAATAACAGAAGCCCAATAAAAGGTTGTGGTTAATGTTTTCAAATAAAGTGCAAGCTATATATATTGGACAACACAATGCAGAGAAGAGACTGTACAGGAGGACTAGGCCATTCAGCCCTTTGAGCCTGCTCTGCCATTCAATAGGTTTATGGCTGTCATGTTCATTGCAGCCACCTGAATAACCCCAGTCTCCCTTGTTGCAATCTACTGAGATCAGTTTAGTGGTCAGGATGTAGAATGAAACCTAATTTTAGTCAAGTGTATGTAATATTTACAAACTGGAAAAGGTGCTTTGTCGAGACCATTATTAGTGGAGACTTGCAGTCTGCAAGCTCACCTTCATTCATGTCTAAAAGATTAATACCTGAAATTTAGATCATTACAGTGTTTGTAATAACAGTAAATTTAACTTACCTACAGCCTTGCAAGCCCCATTGATTGGATCTACATGATATCCTTTCAAACATTCACATTGGTAGCTTCCAACTAAATTAAGGCAAATTTGACTGCAGGTTTCTGGATTTTGGCATTCGTCAACATCTACAAAAGGAAAAACCACCATCAAATTCACAGATAGTAGGAACTGCAGATGCTGGAGTGAGAGATAACACGGTTTAGAGCTGGATGAACACAGCAGGCCAACAGCAGAAAAGCTGATGTTTCAGGTCAAGACCCTTCTTCAGAAATGGGGGAGGGTAAGGGGATTCTGAAATAATTAGGGAGGGGGAGGTAGACAGAAGATGGGTAAAGGAGAAGATAGACAGGTCAAAGAGTCAGGTTTGGAGCCAGTAAAGGTGAACATAGGTGGGGAGTTAGGGAGGGGATAGGTCGGTCCAGGGAGCATGGGCAGGTCAAGGAGGCAGGATGAGGTTAGTGGGTAGGAGATGGGGCTTGAGGTCCCATCAAATTCACAATCTGGGATAATGAGGTGAGATTTACTGAATGGAACTTGCCTGCACAGGAGTGTTGGTCAACTAGTTCAAAGCCAGGTGGACATTTACACTCATAACCAATGACAAGATCTCTGCAGATGTGAGAACAGCCACCATTGTTCACAAGGCATTCATTTGCATCTAGAAAACAAAAAAACAGTTTATGCTTCTTCATTGAAAAAATAAGCCTGGCTATTTACTAAGCAGCTGATGCATGTTCCCATGTGCAGACAGTGCAAAGAGGGAAAGTTTTAACTGTGCCTTCGTGTCAAAAGGTTCTATTCTTGGTCACCTTCTGCATTAAATGCCACATTGGGATCATTTTAAACAGACAGAGGAAGAATACTGTCCTAACATTTACATGGTGTTCTGTTTAATCTAGTTATTGCAATCCAAGAGCTATTAACATTCTGGCACATTGGAGGAAAATTTGAGTCAAGAAGAGTGACTGGCATAGAAAAAAGGAGGTAAATTTACTGTTTTAAATCAAGAACAGTTCAGACTAAGGTATTTGAAAAAGTTAATGGAGATAATAGCCTAATGCATTTAGTTTCCCCTCCTCCCTGTCCTTACAGGAAAAGGAAATTTAGAAAGCTCAACATTTACAAAGTTAGACTTCTAGTTCAGTATTTCTTTCAATCAGGAAATCAAGATTCATTGAAATTGGAGGACCATAGGAAACTACAAGTTTTAAGCCACATACTGCATTCTTTGAGGGGCTCGTCACTCCAGTCCTTACAATCTTGTTGCTGGTTGCACACTTGGGTTATGTTGATACATTCTCCAGTATGACATCTGAAGTCATAAGGCCCTGTACACTCTGTAGCTGGTAGAGAGGAAACCAAAATCAGTTTTCAGCCAGGGAGCTCAAAAAACCCCCAAAAAACTTACTGAAATTAAGTGTGTACTTACTTTCACAGTTGAGCTCATCACTTCCATCAATGCAATCAATAAAGTGATTGCATTTCTTGCTGTCAGGTACACAGTTATTATCACATCTGAAGTAGCCAGATTTGCATGTTTCAGATGCTAAAAAAAAATCAAAGTTTAAACATTGAAGAAACAAAGTCAAAGTAGCACATTGAAAAATCTGTACCAAGAACCAAATCTAGTATGCTATTAGTGCTTATGGTGTTTTAAAATATTCTCTAGTACCACACAAATCAAAGTTAATCTGTAGAACTGGATTAATTGGTTGTGTCATTGATGTTTTAAATGAAAAAATTTTAACCAAGGATTTTAGTGCTATTCTAAAGCTGCGAAATTAGAGTACTTATTGTTAAATAGAGTTTTGAAAGTGACCAGATTTAATGGCTTGTTGATTAAAAGATTAATCTTGGTCAGCTCAGACATCAGGGGTAACTCCAGTTATTCAAATGATATCATGGAACTTTTGACTCCAGAAGTCAAAGATCCTTTGAGTATCTTCTTGAAAGGCAGCACAAAAGGCCTGTTTTATGTGCTCAAGTCAGAGTCAATGTGATGGGTTGATGTCCCACTCTAGAAATAAGGAGGGCCCCTAGAGCAATAGCTAGTTCCACAGCTGTACTCAGTTCTGAGTAACTGTAGTTTAGGAGCCAGACAATAATATTGAATTACTTGTTCAGATTCAATTTCTGCTTCTATGCACTAATTACCAGACTTACTCATGAAAGTTCAAATCAAAAATCAGAAGTCAGAACTGTACAGCATGAGAAATAGACCCTTCAGTACAACCCATCCATGCTGACCAGATATGGTAAATTAATCTGGTCTCATTTGCCAGCACTTGGCCTACATTGCTCTAAACCCTTCCATGTGCCCATCCAGATGCCTTTTAGATGCAGTAATTGTGCCAGCCTCCAACACTTTTCCAGCAAGTCATTCCATACGTGCATCACCCTTGCATGAAAAAGTTGACCCTTAGGTTTCTTAAGTTTTGCTCTGTTTGAACTCCCCTATCCTGGGGAAAGACCCAACTATTCACCCTATCTATGGGGCTCATGATTCTATAAACATCTAAAGGTTACACCTCAGCCTCTGACACGGAGGAAACTGTCCCAGCCCATTATGTTAGAGACAGTAAATACTATTGCTACTTGTGCAGAAAACCAAACAAAACAAATTGAAGGAAGAAAGACTAAAATAATCAGGAACATTAGAAGCAACAACTTTCAGTCTGGAAACAGTGAACTTACGACATTTTGTTTCATCACTTCCATCGTTGCAGTCTCTCTCTCCATCACAGTACCACTGCTGGTGAATGCATTCACCAGAATCACACAAGAACTCAGCAGGAGAACAAGTCACGATTGGAAGTGTATAGCCACACTTGTCTGGAGCTTCATCAGATTTATCAGCACAGTCAGTGTTGGTATCACACACCAAATTCAAGGGGATGCATTGGGAATTGTTGCACTGAAACTCATTCAGGCCACAGGTAGGTGATTCACAGCCTTTTTCATCACTTCCATCACCACAGTCATCTGCACCATCGCAACGAAACTGTTTGGATATGCATCGACCACTGGTACAAGTAAACTCTAATGGATTACAAGTAAGGATGCCTGGAAGAGAACAAACATTGATTTATTCTTTCCTTTTAAGCCAGAAGCTATACCTGACAGTATAGAAGTCAAATTTTTCCTTCATGCATGTTAATGTAGCATGCAAAAAAAATTTGTTGCCCACTTCCAGTCACTAATAGATTGATTGGACATGCTTTTATTTGTTAAAGTGAGTGACTTGCTAGGCCATTCAGAAGACAAAATGTCAGCCACATTGCTGTGGATCTAAAGTTACATGCAGGCCAGCAAACTTTCCTCCTTTAAAAGAACATGGGCATTAGAGAATCATACATTTTTACTACATTTCATGATCAGCATTACAGACCCTTCTAATCCAGATTTATTGACAGCATTCTTATTCCACCAGCTGTTGAGATTTAAACCAGTGTCCCTATGAGTATCAGCTTCCAGATGACTGGTCCTATGACTTATTGCTGCACCATCCTGCATTTGAATACATACTGTGGTAAAACTGTGCAAAGTGCAAGTTTAGGAGGACAGACTGGATGGTGCATGTATTAGTGCTAAAATACAGGCCATTTTTTTGAATGGCAATTCATACATTCCATCATAGTACAGCTATCCCAAAATAATGTAGAGGCGCACAAGTGACAGTAGTGCCTCTTGCAATATATATGCTTCAGATTGGCACCAAAAAAGTGCTCAAAGTTAGAGATTGTAGTGGATTGCTTTTCTTTGTAAGCAACTCAGATCTTTACAAAAAAGGAAAGACAGACTTGTTGCCCAATTGTGCACAGAAAGTTATGGATGCAGATTGTTTTGAACAACTTTGATATCATTGTTATCTTGACCAAAAAAATAGACAAAGTCTATTGTAAACTTGAAAGTTGTTCAGTTGTGCTACAAAGTTAATATCTACTCATTCTCTGCTAGACTGAGGTAGTTCCACTAAATTTAAGATACCCACCACAGTTCTCCTCATCACCTCCATCACCACAGTCTTTTACACCATCACATTTCCAGGAGACAGGAATACACTGCAGAGTGCCAGAACTACAACGTACTTCACTGGCTCGACATGTGTGTGTGCCTGGAACAAGACATAACCAGAATTACTTGCAGTATTGCTTCAGCATTCCCACCTTAACATTTGGAGGGTGGGCCAGTTATATTAACTTTTAATCAGACTTGGTCTTAGAGTTTGGCACTCAGATTACACAGAGATCAAAGATAAACAAGCTTGTATTACATGAGCTTAGAACTTGAACATTCCTGGACATAAAGTGCTGAGTAATATTCCGAGCAGGCTAGGTGGACTATCTGTGGGAGATGCAGGGTTATAGGGTAGGGTCTGGGTGAGCTGCTCTTGGAGGATTGGTGTGAATTCGATGAGCCACGTGACCTGTTTCTACTGCAGGGAATCTATGATTCTATAGAATAATATTTCTACTTGATCATGTTTTTCCCTTAACACCCTCCTTAGCCCAGCTTTCAGCTAGAGTGCACCTAGTGCAATGCAACATGGAGTTCTCTATTGCCCAAGTGGATTTTTTTTCAAAAAAAAAAAAAACACCTTTGGGGTGTAGGTATCACTGGCTGGATCAGCCTTTATGCTTGTCCCTATTTGCCCTTGAGAAAATGGCAGAGAGCTACCTTTTTGAACACCAGTGCATGTAGGAAGTGCCACAGCTCCATTAGAGGGAATTGCAGGATTTGACCTAGTGACACTGAAGGACCAGCAATACATTTCCAAATCAGGATGGCAAGTAGCCAAGTAGCATTTCCATGCCTTGACTGGTCTTGTCCTTCTAGGCATTCATGGGTTTGGAAGGCACTCCCTAAAGAAACTTTGGGAAGTTAGCTGCTCAGCACCTGCTTTGGATGGCCCATTATGCTTACACCTGAATTAGAGGAAAGGCAGTGGGTAGAGGAATGAAGTGATTCTAAAAGGATGAAGAGTGAGGGTGATATACTAACAAAGCATCATACACCATGTGTTGCAATGACACATCAGTGGATCACCAGGCTAGTCGAGGCCATTTTTCTTAATGCTTACTTATCTCAGTAAGTTCATTTTCAGTACAAGATCCAAACTAGCTCAAAATTGCAGCTAATTAAATAAAAATCATGCATCCATGATAATAAATCTAAAGCCTCATATTAACACTTACCCACTTAGAAAGCAATACCAACATTTGTAGGTGGCAAAGATATGCCACATGCATACACAGATGAAAACAGCATCTTAAATGCTATTTTAAAAATATATCAAGAGATTATATGAATGCATAAGCTACAAGAAAGTAGCTTTTAAGTTAAATGAGAGGCCATCTACTCACCTCCCAAAAATAAAAACACAAGTTGCCTCAATACCCACAGAAAAGCTAGAAAGTGGAAGCTATAAAGGAGACTGGCCCTCCAGGATGGAACATAATTGAAAGTCTTAATAACTGGCATGTTCAATCAAATGACTAGAATGGGAGTGAGGAGTTACACTTCAGCTATAAGGCCCTGGTTAGGCTAGACTTAGAGCTAGTTAAAAAAAAACTAGGGCATTAATGTCTTAGCAAGAATTTTTGTCTAGAAATCTCTGTCAAAGATTAAATAAATACAAAACAAGATCCTGAATTTTAAATTCAAATGAAAAAGGCTGATTTGATCCAAGCTCTTAAAGTAGAACTGATGGGGTGAAGAGTTAAATCAGTACAACTACTTGGGACTCTGATAGGAGGCAGTGTCTTAGAAAGTGCGTACTCAAAACTTCCCAGGAATGAAGTTGGGAGACCGCTACATACAAGGGCTAGAAGGTGAGGACTCCATATGCTGCTCTACAGTGATAGCAGTTTTAAACAATGGTGAATACAAGTGCGTTTTATACAAAAAAAATTCCAATCAAACTGAATGGTAGAATTGTTTCCAAGAGATTAACATGCCTGTTCATGGGGCAAGTTTAGACCCAAAAAGCGCATTTTAGAACAAAAAGAGCGAATGTAGGTTTTACTTATCAGTCTATAAACTGTACAACTCTAACGGGCACAACACCATTTTACACATTCCTTTGTCATCAGTAAACACAATTCTGCCTTGTGAGCAGAGTGTGTAATAGAACGTGCAATTTCATTTAAAAAGTGATTTAATAATCAAATCTAAAGTAATTTGCTTGCTGACAGCAGGGGGAAAACGGTCAGTCAGACTGACTAGCAAGTAAAGGAAATTCTCTTACAAATTCGATGCTTTGGGATCATACACTCATTCACTTGCGGAGATTATTTGTCGCTTATTCCGTCACCCTCGAGGTACTGTCACACAAATGATTTTTCTCTAACAAAACTCTAGCAATGTTTAACATAAAGTCCCGTTACTCACCATTTACTCTGGTGGGAGAATAGGAACATAAGGCAAGCAGTAACACGGCAACTCGAAAGGGGACCATATCATTAGCCGGAGGGAACGTGGCTGTAAAAACCCTGTACCTGCTCCTCACGACTAACTACTCTGACTTTATTTATCCTTTTCCCCTTTCTAACTCACCTAAACAATACAGCACTGCACGCTATTTAATCTTTTTTTCGCCTTCCGACAATTGACTGGCTATTGGGTCGCCTGGTTAACCTATCGATACTATCTATTGGCATTGCTGCTTAATGACGATTGATCAATCGGGCCTCATTAACCTAATTGCAATCTGTTCTTATTACTAGTGGTTCTTGCAGTCCAGTGGATGTGTCTGAGCCTGAAAGCTGGGTTTAAGTCCCACCCACTCATGTCTGAATGAGTTTATTAAAAATAGGCACAACGTCCTGTAGGAGGAGGTATATGGTAAAAATATTTTCTAATCAACTTGTTCAGGAATATTATTACACACCTGTAAAGCATATGGGACTTGAACATGGGCCACCTGGCTCAGAGACAGGGACATTACCAATGTGGCCCAAGATTCTTTAGCTGTATGGCACACAGATCATTTGATGTGAACTTATTAAATGAAATCTAAAATCATATTTGATTATTCTAACATGCTTACATATTTAGAAACATTTTGGCTGAGGTTATATTACATCAATATTCATACAGTCAAAATCCTATTCTGGAATTCTCACACCACCCTAAATAAACACTGGGTATCATTGAGAGATCATTTTGCCCCCGATCCTTTGGATGTCTTCAAAAGTAAAAAAAAAACTTTTTTTGGAGTAATTTCAGTGATTTGGCCTCCATAGCCTTCTGTGGTAGAGAATTCCATGGGTCCACTACTCTCTGAGTGAAGAAATCTTTCCTCCTTTCCGTCTTGAATGGCCTACCCTGTATCTCGAGACCATGCCCCTTAGTTCCAGACTTTCCACCCTCCCTGCATCTCATCTGGCTAGCCCTGTTTAAATTTTATATGTTTCAATCAGATCCTCTCTCATCCTTCTAAACTATAGTAAATACAGACCCAGTCAAACCAACCTCTCCTCACAATCCTGCCAAACCTGGAATCAGAGACAACAAGGTGTAGAGCTGGATGAACACAGCAGGCCAAGCAGCATCAGAGGAGCAGGGAAGCTGATGTTTCAGGTCTAGACCCTTCTTCAGAAATGGGGGAGGGG